TTGATACAAAATAGGAACTTACAGAAAGCAGCTACATAATATCAGCGTAAAAACAAGTTAAATTCTCAAAATATATAGATAAGTTTTAGCTCCTTTGTCAATGCAAGTTCATATATATAAATAATTGGTTTGGCTTGGGTTAACTAACCGTAAGACCAATATAAAAAGTCAACTAATAAACGAAAAAGGTACAAGAAGACACGAAAATATCAAGCCCCGAATGGCGCAAATTTTGCGCTTTAAAGGCTATTCAACACATTATATCGAAGGCAATATCGCGTTAATGATTATAAAATCTACAAAGGAGATTGCACCTGGGTTTCTAAAAATTCGAAAAATAAGGCTATACTTTTGCAGACTTTAGACAGCCCTAATGGTAATATGTCGCTGAGTAAAGATTATAAAATTTACATTTGACAGCGGATTTTTGAAGAGTGCATGCAAAGTGGCGCATACTACTTTCTGTTACGGTACGAGACCATGATCGGTCCATGCAAGACTTCTGCAACGAATACATTTTTTCGAAGGTCTTGACAGAGTACTTGACTTTAAAAAACAATGTACGGTGAGATGACGTCAAACGTTTCCACAACCATAACTTATTCAGAATCATAAGAGAATGTTGCACTGTCTGACTTCGTAAAAGCTATTACATTGATATATACCAGTAAAAAACGTGATAACTTCACAGCGGTTATATAATAACACCTGTCAAGCATAATGCTCCGTCAGAATACCGACAGCAAACGACATGTCAAGTCGTCTTCTTCTGGAATTCGAATAAGAAGAAAATCGGTATATTGCGAAATCTTTCCCTAGTATGCCCCTTTTTTAAACATCACTATAAAACATTCAAATGTATAACATCGAAGTAAAACTAGTCAGAGCAAATTCAAGGAAAGGCTACGCGAAAAAATGTTTTTGTCTGATTAGACATTAGTTAGCATCCGATTCAACAAAATATATTTAAAATACTTTGGAACAAATTGATCACTGAAACCAAAATAAAGTAATTAAATCTGAGAAGAAGAAGAAGACTCGATCACTGGGACAATACGTTAATTAGCCTGACGTTTTGACATCTGTCACGGATTCATCATCAGAGACATGAGTAGGAAACAGTAGCAGAAACGGGCAAACAGAAATATTGTCCAAGCGATCGAGTTTTCTTCTTCTCAATTGTTTCCTGACACACGCATGTTCGCTTGCATTAGTAATTAAATCTGTCAAGCAAGCGATATGCCTACTCTCTTTAAACAATAAAATTGTATAGAAGAGTTGGCTGTTTATTTACAACGATAAGAAGTAACAAAGTAATGATGAAAATAAATTTAATACAAAACGTTTTTGCGTTACAATGATTTGGTGAGCCAGAATTTTGATTAATATTCGTTTGTATCCCCATCAACCGGTAAATCAAATTATGCTCGGTTATTGACACAAGGAATTAGATCCTGTGATCTTGGCAGTTCTTCACGTGTGATGGGCGATACATTTTAATTACATATAAGAAGGAAACTGGATTATCTGCAGACGATAATCCCTCCAAAACACTACTTATTTTTTATCATCGATGTGTGCATATCACATATCTCGCAAAAGCACCAAAAAGTGCTAAGGTGATAATGAAAATAAATTTAAAGAAAACTTTTCTGCGTTACAATTATTTGGTGAGCTGGAATTTTTAATAATATTCACTTATATCCCCAATAACTTGCTTATCAATTTATGTCTATGCGGCGTCAAATTTAGCTCGGTTGTTGACACGAAGAATTCGATTCTGTGCTTTTGGCAGTTCTTGACATGTGATGGGTGTTACATGTGAACCAGATATAATAAGAAAAACTGGATTATCTGCAGAAGATAATTCCTTCAGCAAACACTACTTAGCTTTTATCCTCAGTGTGTGCTTATCGCATACCTCGCAACCGTTCCAAAAATACCACCAACTACCAGCTCGATGTCGGTCACTTTATAATTTTAGCAGAGCTGGACGACAGAAAATGAGGGCCCACCGATACAATCTGATGTGGATTTATTTTGCTTCTAGTCAGTCAATCCTAGGCCTCTACTAACAGCTGGCAGCGGCAAAGCAGACAGACACTCGTACACGGCGCAGATGGTCCACAGACGCATGTTTTGCCGTCCCTTCTCTTTTCAAGCATAACTTGGCCGACTTTGGCTTGGCAGTCGGTTGCCTCTTTTCTGAGGATTAGGTTGCGCCATTCTTGTTTTACTAGGCCCCTTATCTTGAGTGACAGGGGATAGTGGGTGACGAGATGGCAATTAACTTCTGACCCCACTGCACGGTGCAGGAGCGCATATTTGCTCTTCCGTTTTTTAGCTGGTAGTCAGAGTTAGGGTTCGCTGAATGAAGGAAGATTGAGTCCAAAATAAGCTGTCTAAAATGAGCGCATTTTCTCTGGTATCCTCCGCCTGCTGGATTTTACTGTATTCTACTGGGTACAATGGGCTTTCCCAAAAATATTTTGCAGGTAGTGATATGGAGTTCCACACTGATCTGTATACCGTAA